ACCACCTTATACAACTACCCTTATACCCCCTAATACCACCTTATAACCCTATCCTCGTACCACCTTATATCTCTAATACCCCTATCCTCACACCCCCTTGTCCCCTGATACCCCCTACCTGGCATCGGTGATGGTGAGTCTGGAGTGCGTCCTTGAGCCTTCGACCTTGGTGATGACGTTGAGCCTGTGCCGAGAGCCGTCGTAGTTGACCATCTTCTCCTCTTGGTACCAGAACACGAAGGGGGGTTGGCCCTGGGGGGGGGGGGGAGATGGGCGTGGTTGTGAGTTGTTGTTTGTTGGCTTTTTTTTTTTTTTTTGGTGGGGTGGGGGTGGGGTGTTTTTTTTTTAGGTGGGGGGGTAGGTTGACGGGTAGTTTTTTTTCTCTCAGGGGGGAAGGGGGGGGTTTCGCTGTTTTTTCTTTCTTTCTTTGAGGGGGATTCGTTATAATAGTTGTTTCTTTTTTTTGGGGGGCGGTGTATTTCGTTGCATTATTGCGTTTTGATGGTTCTATTTCATGTATTATTGTATTTCTGGGTGGCTGTATTTTGTTGTATTTGTTTTGGTGTGATTGTGGTTTTGCATTGCATTTTTTTGAATGGCTGTATTTTTGGGGCAATATTGCATATCGGAATGGTTGCATTTTATTGTATGGTTGTATTTTGAGGCGGCTGTATATTTTGTATTTTTCGGACGACTGTATTCTATTTTCCTTTTTTTTTCTCTCTCTCTCTACATGATTGCATTTAATCTTATTTTTCTCTCTCTCTATGATTATATCTTATCGTACTATCTTCTATATTAATGTATTTCACGGCATTATATCACTGAGTCGTCCGGGAGAAGGAGGAAGTGGAAGAGAAAGGAGGAGAGTAAAGGAGATGGGAGGGAAATTGTTTGTATCTGATTGTATTACTGTATCTTATTGTATTATTTTCGGGTGGTTGATTGGGTTGGTGTCAAGGAGGGAGGGGGGGAGGATGGAAGAAGAGGAAGGAGGAGAAGACAGAAGAACAGAGGGGATGAAAATGGAGGAAAGGGAAGGAAAAGGAGAGGAGAGGAGAAGGAAAAAGAAAGGAGAGGAGATGGGGGGAGAGGAGAAGGAAAAAGAAAGGAGAGGAGATGAGAGGGAAATGGAGGAAATAGAAGGAAAAGGAGAGGAGAGGAGATGGGAGGGAAATAGAGGAAAGGGAAGGAAAAGGAGAGGGAGGGAGAGAACAAGGAAAAAGAAAGGAGAGGATATGGAAGGGAAATGGAGGAAAGTTATGGGAGAGGAGAGATGATAGAGGATCGAAGAAGCGTAAAAAAATTATATGATGAAAGGAGAGAGAGGAAAAACAATGGGTGATTAAAAAAGAAAATAAAAAAAGTTTAAGAAGAGAGAGGAAAGAGGAAGTGTGAATATGAGAGAAGAGAGGAAAGGAGAGAGAATGGTAAACGAGAGGTTATTAAAGAAAAGAGAAACTGAGTGAGCTGACGAAATGGAAGAAGAAGAAGAAAAAAAAATGCGTGAGGTGACGAAATAGAAGCAGAAGAAGAGGAAGACGAAGAAGAAGAAGAAAGAAAGAAAGAAAAAGAAAAACGAAAAAAACAGCATCAAGAAATTATATACTCGGTTAAAATCGCTTGACTTTTTAATTACAATTAATGACAGTTTGACAGGCTGGTGATCATAACCCTTTGATAACTGACAGAGCAGTGACAATTTTCATTTGCTAATTAACAGGTTTGTGATGATAAATGATAGATTATTTATAGGACGATGGTGTTGACTTTAATACCTGATTAGTGATGATCAGTACACGATAACTGACAAGTGATAATTATCATTCGGTAATTAAAATTTGTGTCACGATATATAATTTGTGTCACGATAGATTATTTATAGATTGATAATATTAATTCATTTAAAAATAAATGATTGCCAAGATTATACGATAATGGACAAGTTGGCATTATCATTATCATCATTATTATTATTATTATTATTATTATTATTATTATCATTATCATCTATTATTATTATTATTATTATCATTATTATTATTATTATTATTATTATTATTATTATTATTATTATTATTATTATTATTATTATTATTATTATTATTATTATTATTATTATCATTATTATTATTATTATTATTATTATCATCATCATTATTATTAATTTATTTTTATTATCATTATTATTGTTATTATTATTAATTATTATTATTATTATTTATTATTATTATTATTATTATTATTGATTATTATTATTATTATTATTATCATTATTATTATCATTATTATAATTATCATTATATTATTATCATATTATCATTGATTATTATTATTTGATTATCATTGATTATCATTATCATTGATTATTATTGGTATTCCGCAATTCGGTGATATTATTAAGACATGGTGCGTTTAGGCAGTCATCAGCGACCTGTCAAGTGAGTGTCAGCCTTGAGGAATCAAAAATAAATTGATAAATAAACGCAGTGAAATTATAATGAGGAGAATAAATATACTTAACGATAAGAGGCATGATGATGGTGGTGGTGGTGGTGGTGATGATGATGATGATGATGATGATAGTGATAGTGATAGTGATAGAGATAGTGTTAGTGAAAATAATAATAATGATAATGAGGAGGAGGAGGACGATGATCATAATAATGATAGTGATAGAGAGATTGATAGCGATAATGAAGATGATAGTAATAATGATAATGTGATGATGATGAATGATAATGAATGATAATGATGATAATGATGATGATGATAGTGATATAGTGAAAGTGATAATGAAGAGGATAGTAATAATGATAATGATGATGACGATAATGATATAGATAGTGATCGTGAAAATGATAATGATGATAAGGGTAGATATGAAATAGTGAAAGTAATGCTGGTAGAGCGTAATTAGATAAAATGTTAATGGTAATTAGGTATAGAAGATGTAGAAGGGAAGAGAAATAGCAAGGGGTACATTTTGTGTGTTTATACATGTCTTTACACATATATATGTACTTACAGTGCATTCATCTACTTGTGTGTTGTGTGTGTGTGTGTGGTGTGTGTGTGTGCGTGTGTGTGTGTGTGTGTGTGTGTGTGTGTGTGTGTGTGTGTGTGTGTGTGTGTGTGTGTGTGTGTGTGTGTGTGTGTGTGTGTGTGTGTGTGTGTGTGTGTGTGTGTGTGTGTGTGTGTGTGTGTGTGTGTGTGTGTGTGTGTGTGTGTGTGTGTGTGTGTGTGTGTGTGTGCGTGTGCCGTGTGTGTGTGTGTGTGTGTGTGTGTGTGTGTGTGTGTGTGTGTGTGTGTGTGTGTGTGTGTGTGTGTGTGTGTGTGTGTGTGTGTGTGTGTGTGGTGTGTGTGTGTGTGTGTGTTTGTTGCAATGACTGATTGATAGATAACTTGATTAACTGATTGGCTGTCACAGCACGGGAGAAAAACAGAATCACAAAAAATCACTTAATCCAATCAACCAATAGCAGATAATAAATGAATCATAAAATAATGTTCATAGCAATTTGCTCGCTCGCCGATAAAATTCATACAATATTTACATTATTCGTACAAAAAATACATAATTCATACAAAGAAAAAAATTTGATAAGTGATACAAAATAACAAAATAATAGTAATAAATAAAAATTTTCTGCAATTATTCACAACCAAGAGACGCCATCACCGCACTATAGAACCAAGGGATTTATAAAACAAAAGAAGATCACACACTATGCGCACGCGGGATCACAACCCCTTATACGATACCTTTATCTTTTCAATAAAAAAAACATATAAAGTAACTTGATATTCCTTGACCTGCATTTATGTTGACAAATGTAGAAAAAGCATGAATGAGGAAGAATATCTTCACAATACAATAAATGTACTTGGCCGTTTTCGATGCTATCTTCGTCAGAAATACATGAAACCTGTCAAATATATCTATTGCATTGTGGAGATATTCCTCCGCATTCGTACCTTTTCTTGGGACTCCTTAGATTACCTCTGCAATACTGCGCAAATGCCACGCCAATGTCCTGTGGGTACAGATCGATTGACTTAATGAATATGTAATACGCAACGTGCGCTAATTGGCTCATTCGAAATATGCAGATACGCGGGGATATCTGTCCGAGGTACGCCATTTGAGGTGGAAATGGATACTGGTCGGAAGGTGGATTAGTGTGGATATGCATAGCTATTAGTGCATGCGAATTAAAACTGGTATTAAAGCTGGTATTAAATCTTCTCATAACTTTCAATTATAGCTATTTATGTCTAAATGCGACGCAAATTTTCATACGAAATCTTCTGATGGAGAGGAGAAATAAGAGAGATTAAATCTTAGAGTACTGAATTATAAGTATTAAGTTGTGCGTGAGATTAACATAGACTTGCAAACGCTATGGATTAGTTTGCGGGTGAATCGCCCTTGTGCGTGTATATATATGTACTTAAAGTAGAAATGGCGGGAAACAGCGTAACTCCGGCAACGCAAAATCGCTCGTTTTCCGTATTTACACGCGCCATAATACCCCTTGTCGGAGCGGTTATCTGCAGTTTCTACGGGCAAGTCCGCTGCAGATTCCTCTACGGTTGAAGTGCGCTATTTGCATTCCAGATCGCTCGCGGCAATTCGTCTAATGCATGTGCTGATAATAAGCAAATTACTTCAAACCCTTAACCGTAAATGCCCCGAAGCACAACTTTTTTCCCATCGACGTTGATTGCCTAACGTCCGAGGCTTTACGACAGCTGATTGGCTAGAATTTTAAACGTTAGGGTAGCTGATTGGCCAGAGTTTGAGCCGGTAGAGCACGTGATTGGCCAGAGTTTGAGGCGTCGCAGCAGGTGATTGGCTGATATTGGAAATCTTACAGCAGGTGATTGCCTAGCCATTTGAAGCTGTAAAACTCAGTCTAAGTACACACTTTAGGCAATGTTCCATTTCTTTAGTTATTAAAGTGTTTTTTGACTGAAGTACCTCTTATCGAAGTACA